CCCCTTAACTTTTTAAAAAGCAGACTTTTGTTGTCTAAAGGAAAGATGAAAGCTCGGTAACAGTTTCTAACACTTGATCAGGGTTCAAAGGACCTCTGTAATTCAATTTCTAGTGTCATGTGTCCTTTAAATACACAGTTTAACGTATGTTAGTATCTCATTATCAAAAATAACTACCATATAAAGAATTTAAATATGCAAAAGTAATTTCATTAAAAGTTATACTTGTTACATTGTTACTCATGAAAATATGCAGTTGCCAAGAAAATTCTAAGGATTAAAGTGGAAATAAAGTTAAGTTTGCTTCATGCTTCATTTATTGCTACATAATGACTACTTCCAGGGTCATTTGCCTGTTGTCATTTACTAATACAAGTGTTAAATACAGTGGCCTATTTTGGAAGAAAAGTAGGGGAAATAATGCACTATAATAGAAAAATATCACCTATTTATAAATTATTAAAGATTTATAAAACACATGGTGAATTATATGTTCTTGCTATAAAAACAATATACTTAAATAGAGAAGCACAAGGTCCTGAAGCACCCACAATTATTTTAAGTATGCCCATATAATAAAGTAAAAACAAACAAAACAAATATATAATATATATAGGTATATATAATAATTTGAGAAGGAAAAAAGGCAAAATTGATTTTAATCCAAACAGAGTTTATCTAATCATGATGGAGGTAGGTCTCCACTTTCAATTACATAAATAAGTTATCTTGTTTATTCAAAGAATCATCATCTCTGATCTGAAAACTGGCCTATGCCACTGAAATATATTTTTAAGAGACTCTGGAAGCCAGCGATCTACATAGCATATAAACAAAACCATCTTCCTCCACAGGGTTACATCTGAAACAGCCTTCATTAGAGCCATTAATGGCATAAAGAGGTATACCTAAGTGCAGAAACTTTGGCTTAGCACTTAATGACACAGTAAATGACACAAATTTCTTAGGCATGAGAAACCTTGTTTGTCTTTTAGTGCTTATATAAGTGTAAAGCTTCAAAACGGAATCCCTTATAATTTTAGAGTTCTAAATGTTGTGCTAATGATTTTAAAAGATCATCCCTGCCTAAAAAGCAAAGTCTACATGTTTCGAATACCAAACATATTTACTCTTAGTGTAAATATTTAGTACAAAGCACTTCCACTTTAATGCTGGACTTCTAACAGATCAGTTCATAATATTTAATATGACATGTCCTACCACTAAAAAAGGTTTTCTATAATGAAAAAGACTAACTCTATTTCTAATGGCAAACTCGTAGAGTTGGAGGTCCCACCATGAATCACAGGGATCAGAGCACTATCCAGATCATTGAGATAATGTTGAGGAAGAAGGTGACCTTGGGATCCTGCCTGAAATTCAACCTGAAGAAAGAAAAGAAAAATTATCAGCTAACCCTTGAAGATGAGCAATCTGATTTAGCTCAGAAGATTAATAAAAAATAATTAAAGTACTTAAAAAATAATATTCAGTCTAACTAAGCATTGTCAATAAAACAATTGATATTTTATGTATAAATGTTCTTCCTTGTACTGCATAAAACTATGCAATAGATAAAAATTTTTTATCTACTGTATAATTATACTTTTCTCTTTCACAGATAGCATTTAAAAATGCTACTTGCTCATAGTTTAGTTGTTGTCTCTGTGAATATTTAAACACCTTGCAGGGCTCTAAATAATGACCAATAAGACTTAAATACAAATCTCACAATATTAAAGAAACTCACTTTAAAATATTTCAAACAGTAGCAGGAGTAATGCTTTCCTGAGAGAATGGGAAGTGAGTGGGGGTGGGGT